GCCGCTCAGGAAAAGGTCCACACCAAGAAAAATGGCGTGCCTATTGTTGTGGAGGTCAAGCCACTACCGTCATCCAAATTGGAGGCGCAACCGACTGGTGATGACGAGGATCCTCGATCATGGTTTGTCGTATTCGGCGTACGTGTGATACTTGCGTCTGCTTAACCTAGCTAATGGTCGTGACCGTGTAATACAGGCATTTTGCTGCATTTTCGCTAGGTACGTGTCTCCCTTCATTCGCTTCCACCGAACATCGGACGGCATACTCACGTTCAATCATTTCAGCTTCGGATATGTCAACTCCTGGGGGGTAAGTCTTTCAGCGCCTATTACATGTCATATTCTAATTATACACCTCGCCGTCTTAAATATAGGTCTTTCAGGCGTACTATCAAGAACACTTTTTAAGCGAGTCATCAGCTCCTGACATGTGAGCGATACGAGCTCCTTCCTTCGATTCTAACGCTAAATGGTCGTGTTAGTGCATGGATTGGCTCTATACAAGTAAGCGTATATTACGTTTGTTTCGAGGTAATGTTCATGATGTTCCCTAGCATTCGTTACTCTTTCTCCCCGGTCTAATCGCGCGATCTGTTGGAGACTTGCTATCCCTGTATCTCGGGACCGCCCTTCTCGTTATTGCGGTCTTTTTGACCCCAGAGTGCGATTCATATATCCATTTTCTTCTGTGTCAGGGGATTGCGACTGGAGTAAGCCTCTTCTGTTTAGCCGATGGCAAACTGACACTGAGTTATTAGCTCGCATGTGGACTATTCCTTGTACCAGTAACGAGGATTCTAGAGCAATGGTTCAGAAGCCGGAAGGAGTTGATTTTTGCCCTACTCATGACAGGAGCATCTATTGGTGGGACAATCTTCCCCATCGCACTTCGAGAGCTACTTCGTCGAGTCGAGTACTACGGGTTTCTCCTTTCACAGAGTTTCCAACTAATGAAGTACCTTTTAGATTTGCGTGGGCGGTACGCGTTATTGGGTTTATCATACTTCTATTCTTGCTAGTCGGAAATATGGTAAGCGCCTACTGTATTCTGTATTCCGAAGCACGTAATGAATTTGCTTTCTGAAGGTTATCGGTCTCAGACTACGACTTCGCCAGGCAACTTCACCCCTCGCGAGTGGTACATCTCGTCAGGAGAACATTCTTTCTCGCCCGCTACAATGTCTGTCTACATTCCTCATTTTCCTGGGGGCGAACACGCGTAAGGCTTCAGGTTTACTCACTTCTGCCTAGAAGTTAAGTCACGCACTAGTACTCACATTCGTGGCATCAAATGCCCATCCTGCCCTCGGCGATTTTGCCTTCGAATTAGTATCGGTTATTAACGCATCGTGTGCACTGGGAACAATAGTACTTGGGCTAGTAGCTGATCGAGGGTTCGGTATGTCTTTGTGCAGGTTGATTGGTTGGGGTCATAATTAACGAGGTTGCCGTGTCGAAGGCTCTTCGATCCTGATCTACTTAATGCCCGTCACAGTAATGTCAGCAGCAACCTACGCATGGCCATTTGCATTACCTCACTCAGAAGCAAGCCTCGTTGTCGTTTGTGTGATTTACGGGTATGTTTTCTTTCATCAACTCTGCCGTTTTCCGGAACAGCGTTCGGCTCACCTCATGCCCATCGATTAGACTTTCCATATGTTCTCTATCACGCTTCGCCGTTGATGGAACCTTCATCATATTGGCTCGCGCATTAGGAACGCTACTGGGACCACCACTATCAGGATACGCCGGAGAAGCAAACCAGCGATTCGGCATGGGTGTTTTCTCTGGTGAGTGCGTATCACACAACGAAATATACTCGGATTCACTATTCGGGTCACACAGGAAGCTTCCTCATGGCAGGAGTTATATTAATGTTTCTTTCACGAGAGCGAAAATAACTCAATGCCTCCTCCATGTTTTTTTACTCTTCTGCCGTATCGATCGAGTATGTTGCAATGGGATGTTTGTTTCATGGTTTATTATAAGGACCCCTCGAGTTTCAAGAACCGCAAACTGGCCATGAATACGTCGAGCAGCTCTGCTACTCTCCCCATTACCAACTCAGATACCGGGGTGACTATTGCGCTCAAAGACGCCGAGAAGTACGAGATTGGGACGCCGTCAACACCTCAAGATGTTTACCCAGACGGAGGATTACGCGCTTGGCTGAATGTATTAGGAGTGAGTGAGGCAATTTAACCACTCAGCTCGTTTTGACTGTGAATATACTGCAGACCTTCATGAACGCCTTTATAACGTTCGTGCGCCTGAAACACAAACAAATCTCACAAAACTGAACGTATTCTCCCAGATATGGCTATATAAATTCATGGGGTGTATGGAGTTCCTGTCAAAGGTCATCATAAAGTGCTAGCTTGATATTGAACTCTACAGATCTTCCAGGCATACTACCAGTTGGATTTACTTGATAGTTCGTCGTCATCATCTATGTGAGTCCTGCTTACTTGACATTATTCGAGGTTAATACAACCTTTCAAGTGCATGGATCGGGTCAATCCAGGTACTTATGGAGAATTGAGACGCTTCTTCACGAGTCCTAACCGGTCGCTCCAGTCATTCCTGGCCCTGGGTTTGATATCTGTTGCAGGGAGACTCTTTGACTTGGGGTATGCGCGACACACGCTTCTCGCTGGAGGATTGACGATTACGATTGCCACCCTTTTGGTCGCTGAATGTCATCAATACTGGCAATTCTTACTTGTTCAAGGAATCATTACTGGGGTGCGTCACGCTGATGATTGTACGTTTTACACAGGAAGGAAAATATAACTTGACCCAATTAGTTCGCGATTGGAATAACCACCGGTGCTGGAATTCTAGTCTTACCCGACTGGTTTCGCAAACATCTCGGTTTCGCCTACGGTGTTGCATACTGTGGAAGCTCGTTAGGTGGTATAGCGATTCCAATCGTTGCGAGGTATCTTCTTCCTCGGGTTGGGTACGTATCGTTGAGTTCTAGGTCTGTAACGATGTCAGTGACGGCTTTCAGCTTTAAATGGACCATACGATTAATAGCTGGGCTTTTCCTCTTTGGGACTACCGTGATGTGTCTGGTAAGTGCCGCTGCATACCTTTGTAACCCGAGAAATCTTTTGACAACACGAGGCAGACGCTGAAACGAAGACTATCCAGCGCACATGCACCAAAGGAACATTTCTCCCTGACGGTATTCAAGACATTACCTTATACTGGATACTGCATAGCTATATTCTTCATCTATTTGGGTTATTTCACGTGTAAGATCTCCGTTCACGGGGATCGATTTCGCTACTTAAAAGGTCACCATTTAGTACCGTGGTATATTTCAACAACGGCACAATCACTCGGGTTCTCCGACTCCGTGATATTCTACCTCGTCTCGTTCTTTAATGCAGGATCCTGCGTTGGGCGACTTGTGGGTGGAGTGATCGCTGATTGGATCGGTAGGTGCTTCATGGGCTTCATACTCACTATACTCATTACAATGAACGCAGGATCTATGAATACTCAAATCCCTTGCATGACAATCGCAGCAATTGTAACGTTGTCGTGGCCATTTGCACAAACGCAAGCGACTCTAATCGCGATTGCGATCATGTACGGGTGCGTTTCTCTCTTCTCCATTCCCTCAAATCCCTCAAACTCACTCGGATTAACCTCGAAAGTCTTTCTTCTGGCGTCTACATTGCTATAGAAGCTACACCAGTCATCAGCATGCCGGGAGATCCTGGCGATATTGGCCGTCGAATCGGTCTTACATATATATTCGCAGCCACCGGATCGTTACTCAGTTTGCCGATACCAGCAGATCTGGATGAAAGATACGGGACAAAGGCGACGGGACTCTATGCAGGTGTGTCGTGTCCTTATGAATGGTGCTTCGGGAGCTGACATGGCTCTAGGCCTGGCAATTCTTGTGGGAGTATTAGCGATAGCCATTTCACGGTATCTTTTGCGTAGTAATCTTTGGGCTAAGATTTGAACTTGATCGATATATATGCGCTCATCAAGCCAGGTTGTCTGGGGAAGTGAATTATAACCGTCTTCGCTGGGCATCACTATATTTGGTCCCTTCAAGTCGTGTTCGAGTCACGGTCAAGCGTTGTCCTCCGAAGCACAATTCTAGTGGCATACGTTGGGACCTTTCCCTGAGCATTGGGGAAATGCAACACACTGGAAAGGCACCGGAGGTGTCGATCTACCGGTGTAAAACAGAGGATTCGGAAGCAACATAAGTATATCCATATAAGATGAGAGAAAGGTTTGAATGAGCGGTTGTCTCGCTTTGTGGTCTTTGTAGTTGATGGGACCGTGTATGGACAGGATAGTGTGAATTATCCGGGAACTGCAAGTGACCAGGTTTCCGAGTCGGATTCTGCTCTGATCCAAAGACAGACGTGATACGCACGGCAAAGCTATGCGGCTTGAAATCTCCGACATCATAGAATGAGTAACACGTGCTGAAGGCGTGTACTTATCCTTCTGGGATCTGACCAGATTGATGCAAATGGTGATCTGTGACTCGAGAAAGCAACGCGGTGGATAGGCGACGCAAACGCTACAAAGGGTAAGATGTCAGAAACCGAGCAAGTAATATTGCGATAACCAACTACATGCCGAGGAATGTCTATCAGGTACGTCATGATAGAATCACAGCTTTGGTCGCTCCTCCACCTTAACTTGACCATTAGCAACGTACATCCGGCAACCTAAATACAAAACATCCAAATCGAACTTGGGGGACAGTGGCCAAAGCATTCTCTCTCGACTGAGAACCAATCTACATGAACGATGAATGACATCAGGAATACTTGCCTAGAATGAGTGAACAAATGACCAATGAGCCCGCAACTACCATGATGCTACGTGGATGTGATAACCAACGACACCAGGTGCTCGTGTGCAGCTGAGCCCCTTCTCCCCATATCGACTTGTGAATCCTCGAATCTCTCGAGGGAACAATCAAAAAAAAAAGAACTCTTTCTATATCATGCTAATGATTCGACCCAGGCTCGAACTGGGGACCTTCTGTGTAACTTTCGGGGCATGATACCATGTTAGACAGATGCGATAACCAACTACGCCATCGAACCATTGCCAAAACGCAACGACATGACCATATGTGGACCGTAATTCTGGAAACCGGCGGTAGGCAAAGCGGACGTATGAGGTAGGGAGAGGTTGTGTTCATGCCTTCCAGTACTCGGAGGAATCGGAAATGGACCAAGAACAATCCTCACGATACATCGAGAGGAGGATCGGTCGGAAAGAGTCGAAGCCACACAGGCGAGGGATGGGGAGATGTGAATATTCGAGGTGGGTACAGCTTGGGGCACCGTTCTATACGCGAGTCAGTATAAGTGGGGAGCAGAAGAAGAATACCGCACCCGAGAGCAAACAACATCGCGCTCGATACCTCGTTCAACGTGAAGCCGTACTACTCTCCTCCAAGTTCCTCCTAAATCCCTCAGCAAAACAAACATCACATTCAACCATCCCCTCGTTGACCCTCGGTTTGATATCGAGGACTTCAAAGCACGTCTGGGTGACCGGTTCATCTCGCAGTTATCTGTACAGCACGGGCTAGAGCATCCAGTGGGGTAAGCGTCAGATGTCTTCGACTGGGACGTAGGAGGGGTGTAGTGAGAGGATTTGGGAGTAGGAGGGCGCGGTTCGAGGGGAAAGTTATTGAGAGAAAACGAGCCTCCTCAAACATCGTTCAAGACTCCGCTACAGCCGGGTGCTTTTGAAGGTTACAGTACGGTTTAAACTAACGATTAGAGGGATGTGAGGGACGGTGGATGTGCGGAGCGTGTCGTAGTGGTCGGCGGGGTGAGGAGGTCATGCTGATAGTAGATGTGGGCGTAGCTTGGAATCGTTCGGAAGGGTAAATGGCAGGAGAAAGCGCACAAAGCCTAGGGAGGTGGTTTATGACGGATGAGTCTGGATCTTGTCAATACGACAGGAATCTGGAGCTAGCAACAATTCACGTACCTATAGCCCCAACAACCCTAGCAATTCTCTTACGCGTATCATGTATCCTGCCTGGCACGGTAGGAAGCCGGCGGTCTTCACAATGGAAGTCTAGAGCAGAGTAGTATACCTGTAGCCAGGGAGATAGGTTAAGAGTTCGTTTGATTTGGAAGGGCGGAAGACGTACATGACAGCGCATTTCTCGCTGATCCATCCTACGCGCTGGTATCGAAAAGGGCTGGGAAACGTGCATGCATGAAATGATAAAATCATCAGCCAGGACTCATTGGAATGGCTCATGGGCAAGAGTGGGGCTAGAATACCGGATGTAGTCGCGCTGAGGTGCTGGGTGAACATGCGAAAGGTCAACGAAAGGTTGACATCTGGTGAGATCCAGGAAGATAGACTCTGAAGCCGTGCCGGTACTATGGCTTATGATTCAGTTATCTCTCACTTCAGAAGATCTTTGAGAACTTACTATGGACAAACGACGAGGATTGTGCTTGTCGACGATGGACGCGAAACGACCAGGACAGTTGTGACATGTCACAGTCACTAATCATTCCTTGACATCGCATGACGTAAGGCGCTTTGCAAACTCGCTCTTCCGCCACCACATGTACAAGCTCTTTCGTGCTCCTATGAGAAAGTCAGCTAATCCTTCAATACGGCCATAGATCCTATAAAAGGTACGTGACTCTGAGATCTCAGCGGGAGTTGCTTGACTGGGCAAACAAAGTATGGTGTGTTTCCAGATATGTCTACTCCCTGTGATCATATTGATGATATTCAGGTGACTCCATACGACATACATGCTCAACGCTTCCAATGAGTCAAACATGCTGCATTCGAATGTAATTTCATCCGAAGATAGGGACTTTTCTTGACATGTTATTATCTTATCTTACACCTATGAAGTCTTCCAGCCTGGGCATTCGCGAAATTTCAATCCTGATCTACATAATGTCCGTGACAGTAATGTCAGAAGCAAGAATCGACGTGGTATGTGTGAGCTACGGGCTTTTTTTTTTGGCAACTCTGCCGTTTTCCGGAATAGCGTTTGGCTCACCTCATGCCCATCGATTAGACTTTCCACATCTTCTCTATCACACTTCTCCGTTGATGGAACCTTCATTACATTAGCTCACGCACTAGGAAAACTACTGGAATCATCGCTATGAGGATACGCCGGAGAAGCAAATCAGCGATTCGGCATGGGTGTTCTCTGGTGAGTGCGTATCACACAGCAAAGTAAACTAGGGTTCACCATTTGTGTCAGGAAGCATCCTCAAAGCTAGAGTTACAGGTATATTGATGCTTCTCTCCTTTTCCTTTTCGGTGATATCGATCGAGTTACGAATATGCTGTGGTTCATTATAAAGACCCTTCGAGTATCACGAACCTCAAACTGGCCATGGACACTCCAAGAAGTTCTTCTACTCTTCCTTTTACCAACTTGGACACTGGAGTGACACAGACTAACGCCTTCGATGATGTCGAGGTCGAGATTGGGACGTCGTCAACACCTCAAGATGTGTACCCCGATGGTGGATTGCGGGCTTGGCTCAATGTTTTGGGAGTGAGTGAAGTATTTTAACCAATCAGCTCGTTCTGACTACGAATATGCTGCAGCTGTTTATGAATACCTTTTCGTTCGTGCGCTTGAAACACAAACAAGTCCCACAAGACTGAACGAATTACCCCAGATATGGCTATATAAATTCATGGGGTGTATGCACTTCTTGTTAAGGGACATCATAGAGCGCTAGCTGAACAATTAACTATCCAGATCTTTCAGGCGTACTACCCGATGGATTTACTTAATAGTTCATCGCCGTCAGCCATGTGAGTTGTCTTGACTTGTGAGCTCGTTATCGAAGGCTAACACGACACTACCAGTGCATGGATCGGATCAATCCAGGTATGTGAATAAAATCCGATGCTTTGTCACGAGTTCTAACCGGTCGCTCCAGTCATTCTTAGCCTTGGGTTCGACATGTGTTGCAGGAAGACTCTTTGACTTGGGATATGCGCGCCACATGCTTCTCGCTGGAGGATTGACCCTCGTCATTGCTACGGTTTTGGTCGCCGAATGTCATCAGTACTGGCAATTCCTACTTGTGCAGGGAATTATTACTGGGGTGCGTCACGCTGAAAGTCCTACGTCTTTACACAGGAAGGAAAACAAAAGCATGATTAGTTCACGATTGGAATCACCACCAGCGCTGGGATTCTAATCTTACCAGACTGGTTTCGCAAACATCTTGGTTTCGCCTACGGTGTTGCATACTGTGGAAGCTCCTTAGGTGGTATAGCAATTCCAATTGCTGTGAGGTATCTTCTTCCTCGAGTTGGGTACGTGTCATTCAGCATTAGGTCTGTGGTGATGACTAACAGCTTCCAGATTCAAATAGACTATACGATTGATAGCTGGGTCTTTCCTCTTTGTGACTCTCGTGATGTGTCTGGTAAGTGACACTGCGTAGCCCCGTGATCCAAACGACTGTTCTGACGGCACGAGTCAGGCAATGAAACGTTGACTATCTAGCACCCATGCACCAAAGGAGCACTTTTCTCTGACGCTGTTCAAGATATTACCTTACAGTGGCTACTGAATAGCCATATTCTTCATTTACTTGGGCTATTTCACGCGTAAGTCTTTGGTTTAGAGGACTCGGTTTTGCTACTTACACCGTCATTGTACAGTACCATGGTATATTTTAACGACAGCGCAATCACTCGAGTTCTCCGACTCCGTGATATTCTACCTCGTCTCGTTTGTTAATGCAGGATCTTGCGTTTGCGTTGGGCGACTTGTGGGTGGAGTAATCGCTGACTGGATCGGTAAGTGTTCCATGGGCTCTATACGCACTGTGATTTCTCACAATCGCCCAAGGCCCATGAATACTCAAATCCCTTGTATGACAGTTGCGGCAATTGTAACGCTGTCGTGGCCATTTGTGCAGACGCAAGCAGCTCTAATCGCGATTGCGATCATGTACGGGTACGGTTCTCTTCCCTATTCCCTCAGACCCCGCAAACTCACTCGGATTAACCTCGAAAGTCTTTCTTCCGGCGTCTACATTGCTATCAAAGCTACGCCAGTCATCAGCATGCCGGGAGATCCCGGCGATATTGGCCGTCGAATCGGTCTTACATATATAATATATATTCGCAGCCACCGGATCGTTACTCAGTTTGCCGATACCAGCAGAACTGGACGAAAGATACGGGACAAAGGCGACGGGACTCTATGCAGGTGTGTCGTGTCCTTATGAATGGTGCTTCGCGAGCTGACATGGGTCTAGGCCTGGCAATTTTTGTGGGAGTATTAGCGATAGTCATTTCACGGTATCTTTTGCGTAGTAATCTTTGGGCTAAGATTTGAATTAGATCAATATATATGCGCTCATCAGCCCTACTAGTTGTTTGGGCCAGTAGATGATAACCGTCCCCATTGGGGGTTAATTCTCAGATTCACCTCGAACGCAGTCGCCTTTGTACCTACTCACCGCAACTTACTTCCGTTCTCTACGACGAAGAAAGGCAAAAGCAAAAACCTTACCTTTCCGAGCGTGTAGCATTGCTGAGTCATGTTCGAGTCCCTTTCGAGCACAAATGATGGTCTGTGACCTGTATTTCCGAGTCACTATTTTAACGACGTACGAGTTGTTGAGTGATCTCTGAAAGCAATATCTAGCCAGTACTTTACATGGATGACATACAGGTTACACGCAAACGGAACATCCGAAACCTAAATATGGGATCTTACTCAACTACTAGACTCTCGCTTTCACATGCAAAATCAACCCCGGGTTCTTTTCTTCTCCTTCGATTTCCGGGATTGGGATCATCATCCCCATGTTTCCTCTTCGAATCTCCATTCCCTTCGGTACTCGGAACTCGAAGCGTTCAATGAGCCCACCGAGTAGAGCATGGATCTCCATTAACGCGAATCGGAATCCAACGCAGCCTTTAGGTCCACCACCTGTAGAGCACGTCAAGCTACAAACACAACACACTGGCAAGTAAGGTGGGGGACGCACTAAAGTTAAGAATGTTCCCAGTCATACCAACCGAAATGTCCCTCTGCAAATCATTTTCCTTAAGAAACCGAGCA